TGCGCTTACCTGTCATCACGAAAGTTGCAAAAAGTTGAGTTCCGAGGAGTATTTTTGTCTATTATTGTTGGGCACATTTCCATTTCGAGTGAGTTTTTGACAAAGACATTGGAATGTCGGAGGATTCTTTTTCGCCAATTTTCGATTTGCATTTCTCTGGAATCGAAGAAGATTGCTACAAAAAGAATGTTCACATAAAGCCAGTCAACAAATTGCCAAGAGAAATCCGCCATCCTCTTTGGTGGGATCCACCTTCGAATCCTTTCCTCACACACACGTGCATTCGAAATGGAAGCGAAATTAACGGGTACGAAATTTCAATAAAATATAGTGCTTTTCTATAAGCATATTTATAGTCGGAATGTCGATAGAATAAACTTTCATTTTGCCACTACAATCGGCTACCTTGATTATAATTTCATAAAGCACATTTAAAAGACTATCAATAAATCTTAAATGTGAGTTGTAGTCAACCTAGATGAAGTACTGATGTGGCTTAGGCGAGGTCGAAACTGCACACCACTTCTTGACAAGCAAGGTTAACATCTTCTGATATAATTATGGGAAAAATGCAATGATCAGTTCTTCCCCACCTCATTCAACATGGGGGTGACTTGGAGTCTTATTCAAGAATTACTGATAGTTTCGAAACCTCGATTATTCTGAATTCACATATCAGGATTCCTCTTAACCTCATCGTGGGAAACTGGTACACCAGAACAGCATTTCAGCTCTAGATTTTCCAGAACTTCTTCCATTGTCTTCAGGCTTGTAAGTGTTTATGTACCAGTCTTGGACTCGACAGACAAGGCATGAACGTGGGGTAACCTCAGAGACTGATTGAGACGTACATATAGTGGCTGAGAGACAAATGATGAGTGAGAAAGGAGAAGTGGTAGGTGAAGAGTGTAGAGTTTAGAGTGGGGAGTGCGGGGCGCGGAGTGCGAAATGGAGAGTTGGAAGCGAGAAGTCAGGAGTAGACTGAAAAATACAAAGTAACAAGTGAGAAGTGGGTGATTGGAAATGGCGAGTGGAAGTGTGGAGTGTGGAATGGAGAATAGAAATATGCGATAGGGCGAGTGTGAAATGAAGAATGTGGAGTGTGTGGGAGGAGGGGGCACTCACTTATGGTCCAGATGCAATAAGCCTGCCGGAAGACCACGGAAGCGCCCAACTGCCGACGCCAGTCCGTCTGGCTGCCGGCCTCGTCGCTGGCGTTCCACGAAGCTCCACGCGCCTCTGGAAGCGCAAAGCCCTGGCCGGGAGTCAAGTCGCCCAGGCCAATGGTCGTCAGGGAGACGACGCAAAAGTACACCGCGTCCAAATACGACCAGCCCGGCTCCAGAGCGAAGAAGAGACCCGCCGGCAGGAAGAAGAGCAACAGAACGACCACCAGGCAGAAGAGGACGAGGTGAAGGGTGCGCGCCGAGACAAGCTGACGCCGGCAAGTCGGGCAGCTGCAGTAGCATTGAATGGGAACTGGCCGGCTGCCATCCTCTTTGCATTCGTTGTCCCCTCCTCGGAACCCCTCGGACGCCAGACATTGGGCAGCAGATTGGTACGGCTTGTCGACCCGCGGTATGGCTGAAGCAGACAGTAAGGAGAACATATTTATGCACGACCACAGCGGCAACACAACAAGGTACTGAGGCAATAACACTGTCATTGCAACGATGCTCAAAGACGATCACGGGACTCGACAGGAATCGAAGCGACATTCCAGGAAAAGAAGTTCATGCCATTCGAATTTGTATTTTACATGAAGGGCTTTAGTGTTCTGACAATGTTTCTGTTCGCGCAGGCACGTAATCGTACGAGCAAGCGGAAGATGTGCCAACTCTTTTTTAATCTTTGTTTGGTCTTGCCTGAGGCAATACGAAGAGAGGCTGGGCTTGAAAAAATGCGTGGAAATGATAGGAAAATTGGCCTTACTGCAACCGAGGGAGGATCGCCATGATGTTATGGATAATGAATTCTGCGAAAAAGACCTCTGCCCTCGATGCATCAGTTATGAGGCGTCGCCTGTACCTCAGTGTTGCTATTTTGCAAAAAATATCGCCAAAACCATAAACCGAGAAAGTTGCCTGGCTGGAATTATTTTTTGTTCTTATACCCAGTTGAACCAATGTGTATGCACTACTCATGAGTAATTTTGCATGCTAAAATCCACATCAGTTTACAGGTTATTCAAGCTGCCGCAACTTGCCT